TGTGTTTAACATGTATACAGTGTATTTAACAGCTGGCTCGCTGACTGGCTACACACACACACGAAACCATACACACGAAGACACACCACGAACACACACACGAACCGCACACACGGAACCCCCAACCACGACGAGCGATTCACTTACCTCCCTGCACACTCCGTTGCGAGGAGGTAATTACGATAAATTGTCGGTCCGTAACATGCTGAAATCTGTCCCGTTTTTTGGCCAATTATCTTAAAAACCTTGACTTTCTGGATATTGGAAATTTCATTAGTGACCCCCCATAATGTGGGCCATTGCGCACATTTGTTGAGACAGGGTTGTGGTCGGGGGCAACCTTCTTTAGGTCCAATGGTTCTGTAGATCAGTCACGATGTGGATTGTAGTACTTGCTCAGAAAAAGGGCGTGGCCCAAAAGCCATTTTCGCCGTCAGTGGGATAATGTGTTTACCAACCAAATATTGCTTCCTGGACCTTCAAATTAGTGGATCTTGAACGAGTTTAGTTCTGGACATTAATTGCATACAAAAAACCACCAAAAGCCTACCTAGAGTAAGGATTGTTCTGGCTTAACTTACTTTCAAGTTTTGCTTGTGTGCTGTGTGTGTGTGACGGTGCTGATGTGTGTCGTGTTGTGTGTGGGTGTGTGCGTCGTGCGTGTGCGGTGCGTGTGCGTTTGTGCGTTGCTGCCTGTGCGCGGCTGTTGTGTGCTGTGTGGGTGCACGCTTCGCGTGTGTATGTGTACATGATGTATGTGTGTTGTGTGTGCTGTGTGTGTGTGTGTGATGTACAGTGTGTTTGTGTGTGGTGTACGGTATGTGGTGTAATGTTGGTGTGGTGGCTGTGTGCTGTGTGTGTGTGTGTTTGTGTGTGCGGCGTGTGTGTGTTGCGTATGTGTGCGTGCCCGTGCGTTGTTTGTGTGTTGTCGTGTGTGTGATGTGTGTGTGTGTTGTGTGTGTGTCGTTGCTGTGCGTGTGTTGTGTGTTGTGTGCGCGCGCGCGTGTGTGTCTGTGTGTGTGTGTGATCTGTGTGTGTGTGCGATGTGTGTGTTGTGTGTGTGTGTGTGTGTTATGTGTGTGCTGTAGAGTTAATCCTTTCATAGACCCAGGGTGCCTGTCATCTATCGCGGACCATGCGTAGTTATGGACAAAAAAACAACCTAAGGCGCCATACAACGAACAGCTTATTAAGGCGCATGCATTGGGCGTATAGCTGCCATTAATATCACGCAAATGGCCGGTAGTGAATTTGTGGTTTGATCCGTAAATCGTAGCACACTGTTGGTGTATGGGTCAAAGAAAGTTGGGGGAAATTGAGTTTTTGAGAATAGCCTGAGTGGGGCGGGGTGGGTAGCACTGTACCTATTAGAATGGTCTCGATGACTGTATTCTGTGCAACTAAATGAAAACCCGCTAGATTATCTTACGTAGATAAGGGGGTGCCATTTGAATTTATTTCGCATTGCCGATATGTTTTCATACCCCCCCCCATTGGTTACCGCAGTCAATGATTATGATAAGGCGCTACTAAGCGATAAGGTGACACGTATTCTGAATAGGCCACAGTTTGAAGCGTTCAATTCCGGCCGATATGCGGCTTGATTTGCTTCTTAGCTGCCTTCACTTCTATAAAATCATTCTTAATATGAATTTAACTACTGCCATGTCAACAGCTAGTTTTGTGTGCATAATTAATTTTTTTCTGCATTGGTAGCACGTCATGAATCGCGTCACTGCTGCATGTTTTCATCTGTTAATTAGATTCTTATCAACTCACAATTTTTTATTTACTGTTTCCGTATCATTCACTATTTTATCGCTTCTGTTCAGCGGGAATCACTTTGGAATATTGTTCCGTAATAAAATTATTATGCTATGTTTTAAATCATCATGGTCACTCCCTTTCCGTCGGAGTATAATGGTGGTCTATGTAATGGAAGATGATTACACATTCAAGCGCGCTGCCAATCCATCTGCTAGACGTATGACTGGCGCTGCTATATATATACAGCTGTTTAAGACACTCAATTCGATTAGACCTCCATATCCTGTTTGATGTAAACAATATAATCTTATCTATGCGATCTTTTGACCAATAAGAATATAATTGCAAATAAGTTTTAGCTGAATGAGAGCGTATTATCACATGTTACAGGAGTGCTATCGCAATTTTAAAGCTTACAATTTACTATACGCCAGTTAATTGGCTGCGAGCTCTGATATTGATTACGGGTAAGACATGTGTTTATGCTTGAGTGCATAGGATTTGCCCATGCATGGTATATGTGCAATCGATAATCAATACTGTACGCAATCAATTGCAATTTCTGTTTAAATCGGTAGTTTTAAGAGTGGGCTATGCTGTGGGCCAACGCCATTTCCCTCGGCTGCGACGTCGCGCTCTGTCGATGGAAATGCACATTCTTGCTAAGGAAGGTCACAAGAAGTCTCACACTCAAAACCACCTATCCGAAACAGAGTCGTCGCTTTATAACGTGCGGAGGAAGCAGCTTCCCATTTCAGGCGCCGGAAGCAGCTTTCGCAGGATCATACTTGATAGAAGCCTGGAAATTTATAAAGTATGGTGATTCATATAATATATAGTTATGATGTGCATGCTCACCATGTTTATTTAGTATGTATTACAGGAATTTACTAAATATGTCTGAATTTTTAGTTTTGTGGAATGTGTGAATCGTTTCTATAGTTCTTGGTGATAGTTGTTCCATTTTCCCTGATTAATGACGAAGGTACCTGTTTTGCTCTTAGATTGCAGTTGAATAGGAATCACTTCGCAGACTTCAGCACTTGGAAGCATGTCATACCTATTTCGGCTGTGACAGATCTAACAATAGAGGGAGAGATAATCATAAACTCTGTTAGATTCCAGGTATTGTTTATTGCCAATATAAGCATCGCAAGTGGCAGATCGATTCGTCCGGCGCTAAATGATTTTTTTTCTGAAATGGCCTGATGGCTGCTGTCATGCGGTGTAGTCAAAGTTAATATTCGGCATCCATCTTGAACTAATAATCAAGAAGGACCGTTATCGCAAACGAATAGCATCCGTTTTTTTCTATAGGTGCAGCCACCGCCCCAATCCCAAGTCGTCTACCTACCAATGCTGCAGGTATAGGCCTATAACTTGATTGTAGTGCCATTTAAATATTATATTGAATTACAACACACTCTCGTGTTCATGTGTAGGGTTACTGCAATACAAGAATCTAGCTACTAGGTCTCATGATTGTGTATTTTTATATCGTTTTACAAAATTATTTGTCACTTAAAAACAACCCTGCTTTCCTGTAAAATACGCTATTCGTGACGCTTGCCTGCTGTTCTTTCTTATTAAGTTATTATTGTATGTTGAAAAAAAAATTCGTATTTGCAGCCACCGCCCTATCCACAAGTCGCCTTCCCTATGAATCCTCGTTCATAATAAAGAATGTTGATATTACATTGGCGTCCCTCTTTTGATGGAAAAGTTTTCCACGCTGCCCCTTTAGCCCGCTTTGGTGTCTTAAAAATTCTTATTATTGGTTATTGTCTCGCCCTATTAAAATATATTTATCAATTGAAGTTTAATTACAGCCCGTACCTTACCTGAAAGCAATACCAGGAGGGCTACGCGTTGGGAGCATTATCCAGGTGTCTGCCTATCCTCAACAAACTGCAAACGACAAGTAAGATGTTACAATTATTTGTGCGTTGAAAGCAATTAGGACGAAAGCAAATATGCATTGAATTTTATATTTAAGAAGCAACTGCATAAAGTGCGGCAGTGCCCTAATGGTTCGTGGGTTGGTTTTCAGGCTCGCCGTTAGGTTTCTGTGCGGACCACATCCAGATAAATCTGACATCGCGTTCACGTTCAGTCCTCGCTTTAAACGGCCGCTGCACATCATCCGCAACTACAGAGTGAACGGAAAGTGGGGCGCCGAGGACCGCACTAACTATGGAGATCACGACTTCCCATTTCCACGAGGCGTTCCATTTGACCTGGTGATCAACTGCGACGCGGACGAATTCCGCGTGACGTGCAATGGCAAGCATCTGATTAACTTTTCATATCGTGTCAAGCCCCTGCAGAAAATAGTCAACGTAGAGATCATTGGTGAGGTTTGCATTCAGAATGTGCGCATTCTATAGAATATGCGTTGGCGCGTGATGAGGCGTTCGCTACCTTCGAATCTTAAGCAGACGAATTATTGCTATTTGTAACTAATTACTGTTGAAGAAATTCCAATCGCGCGGCGAAGCGATTACCCTTATTGTTTAACTGTGACGAACACATAACATTATTTGAACGAAGAAAGGTCTCATAATTATGTTGAGTAAAATAAGTATATAATTTCAACAAATTTCTTCATGCAAGCAGTTTTGGTGGCACCAAGTAATGTATGACAATAACTTTTTGACTGCTAACGACAATCCATGCACTGATACCATGGTCGAGGTTACATACAAATATACACACATGCAAACATTGGATGCGCGCGCACACACGTGTGAATATACACACACTTCATATTTAAACACGCGTGGACACAAACGCACAGACGAAATGTAAAAGATCGTTATAGACGTTAAATTCTAATAATCCGCCACAGGTGCAGGTAAACAAACTATAGCGCACGGCGGTGGCCCAAATTGCTATCGTATCCCGGCTAGCGAAGAAAAATCCAGATGAGAGACCGAATACCAGAGAAGCGTCGCCTGAGAGGTGTTGATCCTGCCCGCTAAGCGCGAATCTTGCGCGCAGTTCCGCGGCAAGGCGCACGCGACCGCGGGAACGTCCTACGAAAGTATCACGCGCTGGCAGCTATTGATCCGTGGATGTACGAGCAGATTTTGACCTTGGAATATTTCGGCGGACGTTTTGCGATTGTCCTGTCGAACATTCGCGACATGCAGACAAGCCGAACAGTTGCGCAGCG